CAGTTGCCTGCCTGCAATTGTGCATTGCTGAACTTTGAAAAGCTACAGTACCCTCTTAAATGATAGGGGCAGGCAGGTTATAGGATTCAGGTACAAAGAGAGGTGCAAAGGGTATCTGCTAAATGCTCTAAACTTGAACAAATCATAACAATATGACAGTCCAATCATACCCAAGTAGCCTAGCTGATCTGGCTAGCTTACCGCCCGTACTAATGGAGAGACAGCTCTTTGTGGTTAGCTGGATGATCTTACTTGATGAAAAGGCCACTGCAATTAGTGTATGCTGGTTGGTTGTGCAGTGTGACAGCATACAGGATGCTGTAATGGCACCTGCCAATAACTCAAACTTCTAGAAAACAGACAATTAGGCCTTTGATCCTGACACGGCGATGCCTTCCGTTCCAGACCTCTCTGCTCTCTCCTTACTGTAGAGCCCACAAGGTCAGCATGCTACAAATCCCACCAGACAAACACAACCTGGGCAAAAGGCCAATTATTATTATTACCACTATTACTACTGCTTCCCCGCTGCAGTACAGGATGGTGTATTCTTGCGGCCCACATCTGGACTCAGGTTTAGTACACGGGATACAAAAGGAAGGTGCCAGTACTTAGCATTCAATATTGAAAAGCAACTAATAATCACAATAATTTTTTTATTTGTACCACCCGCCCATCGGAGTGTGTTGCCCCAGCCACTCTGGGCAGCTTCCGATGTTTATAAAAACATAACAAAACATTACACATTAAAAAGCTTCCCTATACAGGGAAAAACAAAAGAGTCAAAGGCAAGAGAATTAACCACAAAGTAATAGATTCAGTATGTTATGGGGGGGGGTCTAGCAAATGTGTATATATACACAGACGCACATACACATATATTCACATAAACTGGCACACACACTTCACTGTAATTAAAATCCACCACTTAACAATGGAAATGCATTTATTATACTCTGGTACAATAATCATGTCTAAAAGCCATTTGTCAGATACAAAGCGGAATAGCATGGATTACTATCCCACTGATTTGGTATTCTAATGGGTCCCGATTGTCTCTTTCTTGTACATACAAAACTTCCATTGAAGTCAAGTACCCTTGACATGCATCTGAAGGATAAGATGACTGCACACCAAAATATAAAGGACGGAAAGGCTCAATGGAGGATTCAGAGTGCTCTTAGAAGGCTACTTCTGAAAGCACAGCACTGAGGTTGCTTCCTAAAAGTTGTTTGAATGTTTGTGTGTTTGCCTTTTAAACATTCAAAGTGAACATGAATGCGCAAGAATGGCAACAGAAAGAACCGTGAAAGTGAAGTCAGTTTTCTACGCTAGACAGATTGCTATACATTGGGAGATGTTAGCCAAAAAGCATGCATATTGTTTTATTTATATGTCCAGAAAGCAGTGCCTAAGCATTCCAACTCACTAATGATGGATCTAGCTGCCAGGCACCTAAGAAAGGCCATCGCCTACAGCATGTGTGGGAAACCTTTGGCCATCCAGATCTTGTTGAACTACAACTCCCACTATCCCTGGCCATTGGCCATGCTTGCTGGGGCTGATGGGAGCTGTAGTTCAACATCTGGGAGCCAATGGTTTCCCACTCAGGGACTACAGAATGGTCCATAGTACTACTCCATTATTATCTGAATAACATCATTTAAGAGCACCACTGGCAGGTGGTTTAACTGAAGATGAAAGAGGCCTTACCAAGAAATGAAAATACGTACAACATTTTTTTTTTAACATGCTTCATTAATACCTCATTAATTTGTTCTGAACTGAAGACTTCTTTCAATTGTGTTACTCCTTACTGGCAATTCTTAATTGTTGACATTAAAAAAAATTGCTGAGCTGAGCAAAGAGGAACGTTGGCTACAGTGCACACTTTACTTCTGAGTCTCAAAAATTAAGCATAACTGGCACAGTAGCTTAATAACCTCTCTCAAGAACCATAGTTCAATCCCTAGTGCCATCAGAAAGGTTAGGCATTTAAATCTTGGCAAATAGGCAGTTTATGAATCTCTCTGCACACAGGCAATGGAGTCAATACAGAAAATCTAGAAGAGGACAAAAGCTATTCTTCTTACTAAAAGGCAAGAGTTATCTCCAGACAGTCTTTCTCTTGTATATGGACTGTGTGCATTATTCATATGCTATATTTATTTCTGCCCGCCTCCCCCAAAAAACTCCAGTCTTCGAAAAAGGTTTCCTAATGCATGGACTCCTGAAATCGACCTTAACATATGCTGCCGGTGCTCACCAAGTTGCTGTTTGGTGAGGAAGAAAAGAGCCTAAGGCAAAAGGGTCTTATATCAACCTAGCCTGCCCCCTCTGCCAGCTCTTTGACTCCTCTCTCCTCAGCGAGTTTGATGCAACAATGCCAGCCTGACTCCCCATGAGCAAGGCAGGGGTAAGTGACAAGATTATGTGATGGAACCCCTTCTTTGGAAACACCTCCCCTCATATCTGTTTGCCTCGCCCCTGTTCTGTTGAGATTTAGACATCAGTGAAGAAACTTTTAATGCATATTCAGGCACTTGCTGAAATTTCAGACAGCTGCTGTGGGTAACTAGAAAATCAGTTTTTTCATGTTTAAAGTTAACAATGATAGTAGTTAACAATGATAGTAGTTTGGATCCAAACTACAAGAAAGAAGATTCCACCTAAACATTAGGAAGAACTTCCTGACAGTAAGAGCTGTTCGACAGTGGAATTTGCTGCCAAGGAGTGTGGTGGAGTCTCCTTCTTTGGAGGTCTTTAAGCAGAGGCTTGACAACCATATGTCAGGAGTGCTCTGATGGTGTTTCCTGCTTGGCAGGGGGTTGGACTCGATGGCCCTTGTGGTCTCTTCCAACTCTATGATTCTATGATTCTATGAGTAGTAATAGTAGTAGTCAGTGCTTTTTTCTAAAAAAATGTTTAGGGGTAGTCTCATTTTCCTACTCATATTGAAATACTGCCCTTAAATGAGATCAAACTTAGATTCACAAAATGTTCAGGGGCATGCGTACCCCTGCATACCCCCAGAAAAAAGCACTGGTAGTAGTATTAGTACCCCACCCATCTGACTGGGTTGCCCCAGCCCCTCGGGCCACTTCCAAAAAATATAAAAGCATAATAAAACATCAAACATTAGAAACTTCCCTATACCAGGCTGTCTTCAGGTGTCTTCTAAAAGCTATATAGTTATTTATCTCCTTGACATCTGATGAGAGGGCATTCCACAGGGCGGGCACCACTACTGAGAATGCTCTCTACCTGGTTCCCTGTAACTTCACTTCTCACCATGAGGGAACCGCCAGAAGGCCCTTGGAGCTGGACATCAGTGTCCAGGCTGAACAGTGGGGATGGAGACGCTCCTTCAGGTATACTGGGCCAAGGCTTTCAAGGTTAGCACCAACACTTTGAATTGTGCTCAGAAACGTACTGGGAGCCATTGTAGATCCTTTAGATCCCGTTATATGGTCCTGGCAGCTGCTCCCAGTCACCAGTCTAGCTGCCGCATTCTGGATTAGTTGTAGTCTCTGGTTTTGTAAACTAATCCTTCATTGTGCTATGTTGCATGTTGCAAGCCACCTTGGGAACCTCTGGCTACCAAGCGCCAAAAATACGTTCAATATATAATTTCTAGTAAATGAGCAGCACCTCGACCTAAAACCACTAAGAAATGCAGTTTGGAAATCATGTTAAGCTATTTTGCTCTTTGGTTTCAAACCACAGTCATGCACTGTGAAAACAGAGTTTATGTTTTACTCTTTCCCTTCATAAGCGCCATTAAAAAAAAAAATCCAACTGTTCTTATTATCACGTTGGGAAACAAGCATAATCTACGGCCCCTTATCTGAGCCTCTTGCAAACAGTTTAGCATATACATTTTTGCATTGATTTCCTCCCCAGTGCCCTCTCTCTTTCCCTCTTAGTCTTTTTATAGACTCCTTGACATCAATACACTAGAACGAACATTAATGTTATCTGCCAGAACCATTGTATCTGGGAATTGCTGTGCCTGGTTACGCTAAAGCTTTTTCAGTCTCTTCCTAATGCCATGTGAAATTAGAAGTTATTTAGGCTGTAGAAGGATGCAGATGAAATGTTGCACAAATAATAAACTGTTTTAGACCATGTCCAACGAACCAGAGCCCATGGAGTTTGGGAGATGCTATTTGGATCTTTCCTTTATACTGCAAACTGTGCCAGAATTGCTCAGAAGACAATCTAATGGAAGAAAGCATGTTTTCTCTTCAAATTATTCACTTTCAACACGTTAATATCTGAAGAAAAGTTCTGATCATTATTCACCATGGAAGGCTGAATTTGTGATTTTCAGCCAGGCTTAGTCTCAAATGAGGATCTTTATTATAACGAAGTGACTGCAAGGAGCTTTGCCCACAACAAAATATTTTTTTAAAAAAAATGTATGCAAAAATATTGTGCGCAGTTGAAGAAAATAGAATCGGTATGGAAATAAACACCCAGAGTTGGTACAATAAAAGATATCATCTATCTATTACATGGCTCTCCATCAGTTTATTCATGCACATTAAAAACCCTCTCACCACATGATCTGGAAAGTTCATTCTGCAAAATTCATTTTAAAAGCACTCAGCAGACCATAGTGATGCAGCATGAAGTCCACAGTGTACTCTCCACATCCCAGGTCTGACTGAAGGCATGCTGCAATTCCAAAGAGGTAGAATATGGGGTTCCTTGCACTGTCTCAAACAGAGCTGCAGAACACACCCTTGCTGCGTCAAGGGGACCTTCCGATGCTCCTGCTCCCACTTGTACAATTAAGCAAATTCTAGGACATAAGAGCTACCTTATACTGAATCAGATCCATTTGGTCCATCCAGCTCATTTACTGGATGTTACACAGAGAGACAGCAGCACTACTGGGCAGTGGACCTTCCCAGCCCTACCTGGGGATAGAATCATAGAATTGTAGAGTTGGAAGAGACCACGAGGCCAACCCCCGCAATGCAGGAATATGCAGCCATCCCATACAGGAATCGAACCTGCAACCTTGGTGTTATTAGCACCACGCTCTAACCAACTGAGCTATCCAGGCAAATGCCAAGGCTTGAACCTGGGACCTGGGACATGCCATGCTACACCCTTTCTCCAATCTCCATGCCCCATCGCCCTGCAATTATTGTCCAACGAAAAGCCCTGCCATAGCCAAGGGAGGTCTGCCCACCCTGTCTTTTTGTATTCGCCCTGCCATCAACACTCCCTACGCACTCTCCCTCCAATGTGCTTTTGATATATGGAAAGGAAGGCTAGTCAAAGTCTCTGCCTCCTTCTCCAAACCCTTTTTGTCTCACTAATCAACCCATTTGTCTTCCACCATCGCCCCTTCTTTTTTTCCTGTATGTCGGTGACTTGCTGTCTTCTCCCTCTACTCACTTTCTCATCCTGCTCGGGACAGACTTTGCAAATAACTTGTGACTTGTCTTTTACTTTTGCTTTCTCGATAAGCCCTTTTTGTGGGGGTGGGGGGAGCCTTGATCTCATCTCTGTTAGTCCCCCTAGGTATCTTTCAAGAAGAGCCCTCCAGTACCTAGACCAAAGTTTCTAACATTGCCCATGCTGTGCTGCTGTTGATTTGGTTAAATCGTACCAGACTATGTACCAGCAGCATGTCATCCAGCAGAAACAGAGCTAGGACCATAGAAGGAAGAATGTTCCCTGGCATGTTCCAAGAAGGGCTTACTCCCCAAGCATGGAAAGGTAGGTTTCAAGCATGTATACGTTCCAAGCAAGCATGGTAACAAAGTCAATTCAACAAGTCATCTCAACAGCGTGGTTCTTATGACAGGTGGACAGCATAATAGGAAAATGCTTTTCTCTGTTTAAAACTGTAAGCCACACTGTTTGAAAGCCTTGGGCAAAAGGAAAAGTTTAAATAAACATAATCCTCCTACACAAACTAAAATATGATATTTTGGTGACATTTAGTCAAACAGATTTCTAAACGGAGACAACTTCTGTGTTAAAGACCCGTTAATGTGAATTTGAGGTTTTCACTCAGATCCTGAACTTGTGCTGAACCATTTGCAATGAGCCCACCAGGTTCCTGTCAGCGCAACACAGCTAAGCTCTGAAAAGATATACAGTCCCCATCACTAATCTCTGCAAATGTCATTCTGGTCATACACACACATGTGATGAAACGCAGAAATTTATTTTTGTCCTCATGCAACCCCTAGATGTTTATTTTTGGACTTAAAAAAATAAAAATGAAAATAATAAAAATGAAAAAACACATATTTACAGGAAATCAATATCACATGGACAGTCAGATAGATACAAATATTTTAGAATAAAAGGTGTGTGTGTGTGTCAGAGACATATATCTAGCTTCTGGCAGGGATGGCTGACAAATTCCACAATCTTGCTAAATGCTGCAGTGTAAGAAGTAGCTACATGGACAATTACTGTACAGGGTGGAAGCTGCAGTTCTCTCATCTCACGTACTCAAAAGTACACAGAATTTAAAGAACAGTAAAATAAAAAGGCCTGGAGGGACTCAAACCTTAATTTTATCCCTAGGCTAGATACACAGTGGCAAGGCACTGCCATATCCCCATTCTTCTCTGCTAATACACCTCAGCCCTGACCTTCTTGGGAAACCAAGCCCTCCTGGGCAATATGGTAATGTAACAGGAACATTCATATGTTGCATTCTGTGGGGCGGGCGGGCGGGCTTTGTGAAATATGATGCAGTTTACTTTTAAGTAGAACTCAGCTGAGGCCCAGAATGGAGCAGGAAAACAGGCCTCCAATGGAGAGAGATAAATACTTAATTTACTGTCCCACTTAATCCAGCACTTTTTTTCTTCCTTAAGTCATTATCCCCCAGTTCTCATTATTGTGGCAGTGCAGGGATGAAAGACAAGTGCAGTGAAACCATGATTTCAGCACTTCTGTTTACAATAGACACAGTCTATGCAATTTATCATTAAGGGGGAGGGAGGGGAAAATCTGAGCAGCTGACTTGTTACATGGGAAATTAAAGGCAAATATAATAAGGGATAGTAATCCCTTGACTGGCTCAAAAACCTTCTTATGTGTGTGGGGTGGGGAGGAATCATGCACAACTATGGTTAAATAATAGTAATAGTAATAGTAATAGTAATAGTAATAAGAAATGTATTAATAATCATAATCATCTGTGGAAAGGCATTCATTTACACAATCCAATGACTAGGATTCTGCAAATGCTTAAGGGTGTGTAGGGTGTGTGTGTGTGTGTGTGTGTGTGTGTGTTTGTGTGGGTGGGTGAGAGAAAGAGAGAGATTGAATGTCTATTGTTATTTCCCTGTTTTCACTTAACATTGACTTGATTTTTCTAGTAGGCCTATGAAAACTAGTTAACATGGATCAAAAGCACATTGTTCTATGCGGTCCGGTGGGCTAATTGTCATCAATGGGAGCTTCCTTCCCACACTTTGCAGGGGGTTGAACTAGATGGCCCTTGGGGTCACTTCCAACTCTACAATTCTATGATCCTATGCTAAATAGCTGCATTGGGGCAGGGGGGTTTTAATTAGAACATTGGCATAGGAGGGGAGCTTTTTTTAATAAAAAAAACCCCTCCCCATATGCCATGGTCCTCATTCTGATCAGGCCCTCTAGCAGCTAATACATTCCCTCTTGAACAGTGTTTTACCAACTTGGGTCTCCCAACTGTTTTTGGACTACAACTCCTATCATCCCTAGCTGGCAAGACTGGTGCTCAGGGATGATGTGAAGTGTAGTCCAAAAACAGCCGGAGACCCAAATGTGGGAAATACTGCTCTCCAAGAAAGTAATATGAAGTTAATGTTACACACAGTGGCGTAGCTAGCTGCTCGGGTGCCCGGGGCGGCTCAAATGCCCTGCGCCCAAGGGGCAGGGAAAGCCGGGACAGAGCATGCTGCGCAGAACCTTCACAGAGTCTGCAAGCCGCACGTTGCCATTTTGGGCAGCGTGGAGCCTGCAGGTGCCCAAGCCACCACGTCACTCCCCAGGAGTGATGTGTGGCTCAGGCGCATTGCGGGCCAGGCCCCGTGGTCACCCTCCCTCAGTAATGACACCCGGAGCGGCCCACATCCACCGCACCCCCCTTCCTACACCACCGGTTACACATACATTTTGGTTCTTAAAGTGGAATGTAAGGAACATGAGTCCAAGCCTCACCTCTGCTGTGGATTCATACGGATTTTGCCAAGTCACTTTCAACAAAATGCTCTTTGATTTATTTGGGGCGTGGGTAGCCAACGAGGTGCCTTCCAGATGTTTTTTAACTTCACCTCCCATCAGGCCCAGTTAGCATGGCCAGGATTGATAGGGAAAGTAGTCCAAAAACTCCAGAAGAGCCACAGCATTGACTATTGTGTCTTGCATAGCTTGCCTCAAATGATGCTTGAGTTGGCTTACAAAGCCATATGAAAATATAACATTGGCAACTGCATTTACTACATCTGTGAGGACTCTGGCCAACAGGAAAGTGGTGGTAGATGTACAAGGTTACCCAAGACATGCTGCGCAGAACCTTCACAGAGTCCGCAAGCCCCACGTTGCCATTTCGGGCAGCACGGAACCTGCAATGGTAAGTAATTTACCATTATTGCAGTCCCTCAAAACAAGCATCATATCTGATGCCAGCTTTATGAAGCCAAAACTACATTTAAAGCTCTCAAGTGGTGTGAGAAAAAGGAAAGGGGAAGATTATGTGTTTGTCTGTCTGCTTTATCAATCACTGATTCAGGTAGGCAGAGCTATAATGCTTCAAAGAGAAGAAGAGGAAATTGCAGCAAAGATACAATAGCAAGGATAAAGAACGCAAGATTCTGCCTATCCAATGAATCATTTGAATCTAGTGTTTTCTATTGCCTGATAAATCCAATATACTTTCCTCCAGTACTTAATACAGTTACCTCACAGGGACTCTGGAGCCTCATCGGCTGAGGCTGGGACAGGCTTGGGAGCTACTTGGAACTATGGGTGCTCCAGGCCTCAGAATCCATTTCAGACACAGAATGTCAGTCCATGATTGGCAAGCCCCTAAGACAGTAGGAAGCTTCTAAAATACCAGGAATCTTCTGCCCTAGCTCAGTGAGACAACACATGCTTTGGTTCAATCCTCAGCATCTCCACGTAGATCTGGGAAAGACTCGTGTCTGAAACCCGGAAAATCTGCTGCCAGTAGTGCATTCCAGTTGTCCACAACCTGTGGCAATGGGAGTTCGAGTCCAAAATATTGGGTGGCACCAGGTTGGGGAAAGATGATTAGCCAATCCTGAGCTAGACTGACCCATAATACTGACCTAACCCTACCACCGTGTCACAAGCAAGCATACCATCACCATTAGGCATAGAGGTCTACCATAACAAAATCATTTATCAAAATCATTTATTAACCAAATGTATTTATCCTGCTCTTTTTGGATGCAGAGCAGTTAACAACAGACACATAAAACAAAAAACCAATGAAAGTAACATTTTTTTAAAAAAGCCAGACTATCATACAGCAGGGATATGGGAGGGGGGATCTACTGGGGATCTGATCCTGACAAAAATTGCTTGTTGTTGTTGTTGTCCCACCCATCAGGCTGGTTTTCCCCAGCCACTCTGGGCGGCTTCCAGCACGTATAAAAACACAATAAAACAGCAAACATTAAAAACTTCCCTAAACAGGGCTGCCTTCAGATGTCTTCTAAAAGTCAGATACTGTAGTTGTTGATCTGTTTGACATGGGATGGGATGGCGTTCCACAGGGCAGGCGCCACTGCTGAGAAGGCCCTCTGCCTGGTTCCCTGTAACTTCACTTCTCACAGTTAGGGAACCCCCAGAAGGCTCTCAGAACTGGATCTCAGTGTCCAGGCTGAATGCTGTGGGTGGAGATGCTCCTTCAGACACACACTCCCTGAGTAGGACAGAATCTGATGAGCATGGGAACAGGGTCATAATCTTTACTGAGGCATGGGAAGCTACCTTATACAGAGTCAAACCATTGGTCCGTCTAACTCAGCACTGTCTGCTCTGACGAGAGCAGCTCTCCAGGGTTTTTAGACAGGGGTCCCC